GGGTTTTTTTTGTCTTTAATCCATAATCATCAAAATTGAAACAAATAAAGGCTTGAAATATTTCACTTTGTGTGCAGTGAACTAATATAACATACAAGTTTCACTTTTTGAAACAAATTATTGAAATAAATGGACTTTTCCTCGATATTCTAATTTTTTGGCACATACCTGTACAGACTGTTTCTGGTAGTCACTCTGGGGACCTGAATAGCTGAGCGACAGGAACAGCGTCATGTTCACAAACTATTCTCTGGTTTTCAAGAGGAGTCTCTCAGGTTTTATCATTCTGAAATAATTACAGAGTATTTGGATTTAAGATGGGTGCAAAGCTAATCTAGATTTACCCAAGATTAAACATTAAATGGCTGGAAATGAGCATGGCATGAGTACTTTAAGCATGCTGGCAACCAGGCAATCACTTCCCCCGAATGGCCGGTCGGCTTCTGATCTAGGGGGCCTTTTGTTCTCAGCTTAAGGGTTAATTATTCATGCCGGTGTTTCAAACCAGCACCTCATAGGGCCTTTGTCCCTGACTTTTCTGCTTCTGCTATTTGTTGTTTCTGTTCTATATTGTTATTTTCTGAAATCTGATAATATGTATTGATTTTTGTATTCTTATTTGTTGTATGCTTATTGTTCTGTGTTTGTTTTCTTTTGATCTTTGTAAACTGTTTAGAAAAGTGCTATATAAATAAGCTTTCCTTTGCTTGCACACTGAGAACCAGAAACAAATTCCTCATGTGTTCAACTTTTCTGGCCAATAAAGCTGATTTTGATTCTGATTCTCAGTGGGAATCAGATCTAGTAGCACATATGCAAGAGGGCCTGAAAACATCTGATTTGGTTTATTCACACTTGTGTGGAAATATCAGGTCTGAGTCACTGGGAGAGAAAAGCATCTGATTTAGGAAACTTCAGCTGTGAACATGGCCTAACATCTATGAGATCAGGTCTCTGGAGTTTGAACATTATTTGCAAAGTTTAATGATATCCATGGGGGTGGGGCAGTTTGATAAAAGTAAACATCACACAGGCTCAAACCAACCACTGTTCATTCCCTGTGCTTCTTTACTTGCTAGACCACTCCTGCATTTCAAGGTCAAGTACCAGTGACTGAAGAAGACAATCTGATTCAGGTTGTATGAGACTTGTAAGAAGTAGTGTTTTAGTCATTAACATTTTCTTTTAGCCTTAATGGATAATAACTTAAATGAAACATATATAACTCTTGATGGGTATGTGGAAGTTCACAAAAACAGATATCTTTATTTTATGATCATGTTTACAGCGTATAGTCTAATACTTTGCATTAATTCCACTGTTGTGTCTCTCATTGTGATTCACAAAAACCTCCATGAGCCCATGTACATTTTCATTGCAGCCTTGTTACTGAACTCTGTTCTTCTCAGCACTTCTCTATACCCAAAGCTGTTGATTGATGTCTTATCTGAAAAACAGATAATATCCTATTCAGCCTGTCTCTTTCAGTGGCATGGATATTTCTATCTAACCTTTTCAGAAATTTCTTTGTTGGCAGTTATGGCCTATGACAGATATGTGTCTATATGTAAACCTCTGCAGTATCCAACTATCATGAGAAAATCAAAGATCTGCTTTTTCCTGGTTTTAGCTTGGCTTCTTCCTGCTTGTGTGATTTCATTACCAGTTAGCCTGAGTGCTAATGCTAAACTCTGTAAATTTACTTATAAAGGAATCATTTGTGGTACTGGGATTCTCAAACTTCACTGTGTGACTTCAAGAGTTATATACATATATGGATTTGTTGTTTTGGTAATTTTTAATACTTTACCTGTGCTTTTCATACTTTTTACCTATACTAGGATATTTATAGTATGCTATAGAAGTAGTGGAGTAGTCAGGAGAAAAGCTGTACAGACCTGTTTACCTCACCTGCTCATTCTAATCAACTTTACCTGTTTCATGGGAGTTGACGTAATTCTGTCTAGATTGGATATAGATTTTCCCAAAACTGTACGTTTAATAACAACCTTACAAGTAATTTTGTACAGTCCGCTCTTTAATCCAATCATATTTGGACTAAAAATGAAAAAGATTTCTAAACATGTCAAGAGGTTGTTTTGTCCAGGTAAAACTGTCTAATGTACCAACACTGATAATAGGTTCACAGTCATTGTTTAGTGTCATAATAAAGCAGAAATATTTCTCTGAACCAAAAACAGTAAATGTAAAGATTTGTTTCTAAACATCTAATATACAGAGTACAGTATCATCCACTTCAACAATGTAATGACTACTGACTAACCGTTAAAACCTAAACAAATTTAAAGCAGCACTTCTAGTCTAATCACAAGTTAGCTGAATTTTTTGGTTGTTTTTACCAGTAATGGCATAATTCTCTCTGGGTGTGTTGTTTTTATGGTTTATTTTAAACATATTCATGTTTGAATAAGAAAGCAAAACAATGTGCAAGTTTCTGACTTGGCAACATAAGTAAAATTATAGGTTGGTGCGCTGAAAGACAATAAATTTATTAATGTTATACATAAAAAAACTTATTTCAAATTATCTTTGATATATATATTGGGTGTTTGTGTGTTTTTTTCATAGACCACATTAACTTCTTATAGTTAGTTTATAGTTGCACTTAGTAAATCCAGCAGCATGTGTAATCAGTCTCTGTTTACATCTCCACTGATTATTTATACAATTTTCCCTGCAATGTAAATGCAGTGAGAATCAGCTTTAATGCCAGATATGTACATTTTCAAGAACACTGTCTCTGTACATGTGCCTTACAGAAGAACATTGTACATACACACTGAGTCAAATTCCTTGTATGTCCAACACACCTGGCCAATAAAGCTGTATTCTGATGTGTGTGTGTGTCCTTGGTATTACTTACATTATGGGGACCTGTTAACACACACACATTGTGGGGACTCAGCCTTCCAGAGACCAGAGGCTGGTCCCCATCATGTAAATCACTTAATTTTAGGGTGGCAACATGGTTTAAGGTTAGAGTGAGGTTAGAGTCAGGGTTAAGGGTAGGCAAGTAATGGTTATGTTTAAGGTTAGGATGGATCTATAGGAAATGAATGTAAGTCACTGTAAAGTCCCCATAAGGAATGAAGACATCAATTCTTGTTCAAACACCAACACAAAGGAGAAGCAGCTCCATAACCACCAAAGCTATATTCTAATCCCACTCCGTGGTCTATACCTGGTGGTCTTTTTAATCATTCAAATTTGCGTGAGTGGTTAATAACACAACTTCCTGTGGTGTGACAAACTAAGAGCACATTTATTTCTACTTTACCCCAACTCTAAATAAAAAAAGAGTTAAACATGTTTTCTAAAAGAACTACAATTTAAGTAGTATAGCTGTAATAACCTCAGAGGTGGTTTGATGTGTGAGGCAGTGAGGCTGTCGGGGGCTGGACAAACGGTGTTTTGGTTCCTTTGGACCTGTGTGTACACGTGGCTGCTTTTGGTGTAACAGCCAAACATGATAAAGGTTCAGCACAGCCTCAGTGTGGATTAGATCAGGGAGGAGGATGCATGTCTCTCTAAGGTCTCACTGTCCATGAACTGACACAAACTCTTTACTCAGTGATACGTTTTTGATATTTGACCAGGTTTTATTACTCTTGTGTGTATTTGTTCATAGATCTTGACAGGTGTCATTAAGCGCAAAAGTGATGTTGAATTTAAATATTGAAATAAGTTCATACATTTAGTGATTCTGTGTGTGAATTGGACAGAGGTTTGTCAGTGCATGTAGCACTTGGATGTCTCTTGCTGTTCATTACCAGCAAATATTGGGCTCAGGTTTTATTGAAATAATTTCTCAAGACAAGGAACAAAGAAATGTTTGATATACAATTTTCCAGTTGTGTAGTTTTTGACTGTCTTTTTAAATGACATATGTACAGCTTGCACATTTAAAATATTCACTTCTCTTCCTGTTTTGTTTCCATCTCCCATTTCTCCATTACTTGTCCTGTTGCAGCTGTGCTGCTGAGCAAACATGATGAGCAACATCAGCCTGACTCCCTCCTATTTTCAGTTCACTGTGGTGCATATTTTTAACACATCTTTATGAATTACATGAAATGTGCCAGTTATATTGAAGTTAGAGAAATATGTACATTGACAGAGGTTTATGTTGTAAATATTGAAAAAGCAATGTAATTAACATTTTAATCTCCAGTCCTTCTCTCTGTTGTTCTATTCAACCTTTAACTCTTCTTCCGTTGCTCTGACTTGTCCTGTTGCAGCTGTGCAGACATGATGAGCAACATCAGCCTGACTCCCTCCTATTTTCAGTTCACACACTTATAAAGTATATGAGCTGAATTGTCTCACAATCATGGCCTATGACAGGTTTGTTGCTATTTGCCAGCCTTTACACTATCACAGTAAAATGACAATTAGGACAGTGCTGCTGCTTTTGTGTTTTGCTGTGCTGTACACTGTGTGTATTATTGGATGCTTTTCCTATATGGCAAGCATTTTGCCTTTGTGTGGAAATAAACTGCACAGGGTTTACTGCACCAACTGGTCTGTAGTTAAACTCTCCTGTGTGGACACAACTGTGATAAGCGTAGCAGGTCAGTTCTTTGCTGTGATATTGATCTTCATCCCCCTGTTCTTTGTCCTGTACACCTACCTGCACATTCTGCTTGTCTGCAGGAGAAGTTCATCTGAATTCAGAGGAAAGGCCTTACAGACCTGCCTGCCCCACATAGTGACCTTTGGGAACTATTGCATCTCAATGTTCTGTGAGATTTCACTGAGTTGGTATAATGTTGGTGAAGTAAATTCATTTGTCATTGTTGCTTTATCTCTGGAGTTGCTGATCATCCCTCCCATCAGCAACCCCATCGTTTATGCCCTGAATCTGCCTCAGATCAGAGCAGTGGTCTTTGGATATGTGAAGATTCAATAAATCACTTCTGCAGCAATCTTACAGATCTCTGCAAGTCACACACTGCTCTTCTTGAATATACTGTACAAACTCAAATGTATGAGTGTTTGTTTGTTTTCCAACATATTCTTTTAAAATATAAAAAGCTCAGGAAACCTAACCTAAATAACTTTGTACAACACATAATTTAAAAAGTATGTATGACCCTGAATAGATGGATTAATTCAGAGCTGTCATGTGTCCACAGTCTATCTAAAACATTAATTCTTCTATGTATATCCTGTGCTATCTGAGAACTGAAACTTATTATGCACCGTTTTCTGCCTGTTAGAGGAGCAATTTTATTTGTATTGCTGTTGGTGATACTAGTTATTGACCCACTGGGGCTGTTAGTAGTGTAGTCTTCTTTTGTTTGTTGGACAGCTGAGTGGACCTGGCTCTCAGAGGCGACTGCCACTACAAGCCAGCTGGACTAGCCACTGCTTAACCTGAGGAAATACAATGCAGATGTTGTGTCAAGCCACATATCTGCTCTTTGCTTGGGTGAGGACAGGGTTCAGGATGCTTTGTGTTAAGGGCAGGTTAGGTCTGGAAAATGGTGCTGCTTATTGTGGGGCTCTGAATATGTATGACAGCCTGGCCTGACACCCCCCTCTGGGGCCAAATGTAACTTGTATACTGAGCTTCCATATGAATGCTCTCCCATTGTGTGGCACATGTAACTGTCTATTATTGACAAAGTCCTTATATTTTTGTTTATTCCATAAGAAATAATAATTTTGATAAGACTTGCTTGCTTGGTGGATATGTTGGTGGGACTTTTAATGGTCTTGTCTTTTGTGTTCTTTTATTCTTTGCTAAGCTTTTACGCACTGAACTGATATTTAGTTTTTTCTGTTAGTAGCCAGGTTTCCTCTGACAGGCTGCAATATAGACACTGTAATTAAAACAGTAATAACATTTCACCAGGAGCAGCAGTTCAGAGACTCGAACAGACCATGAAAGAGATAAAACATTTTTCCAAACAGCAAAGAAGAGGGACACAAGTACATAGACCATGTTGATATAAAGATTATATTAATACATTTATATGTCTCATTCTTTTCAGAACAACATGACACTGTCTTATAATCAGTGACGTGCACTGAGGTTGACAGCTGGTGAGGCACTAACTCTGAAATAAGCTACGGCGGGAAACACTTGTCCAAACTCTTGGATAAGATGCATATGGGCATGCCCAACAATGTTGGGAGTGAGAGTGGGTGTGTGTGGTTTTTTGTCTACATGTCAGCCCTGTGATAGACTGCGACCTGTACAGTTTTAATCAGCATTTATGGATGCAACTACGTACTGTAGTGAGTGACACAGGTGTGCCAAAGACATCCTGAGCCCATGTGGTTATATCGCTTCTAGAAGAGTGATGATTTTTGATGCAGTGCCGTCTGAGGGATCAGAGAGCTCGGTCATCCATTTTAGGATTAGCCCTTGGCTTTTACACACTGAAATCCCTACAGATTCCTTGAATGATGTTCTGCACCGTGGAGGGTGACAAATCCAAATCACTTCCTGTCTTTTTTTGAGAAACATTGTTTTTAAAGATTTCAATAATTTTCTCACATACAGTATGTTTGGTCAAACTAGCAGTTTGATTGTGTGGAATAGGTCAAGACAGTAAACCAGCATAAGGCTGTTTAAATGTTTTCTGTCTGAAAATTGTCAGTAATTTAATGTTAATTATAATTCCTCATTGATTTTCCTCTTTAAAAGATTAACTACATTTACCACTTTTATTATAGCTAACGTGTTAAGCATTATATACAGCTACTTACAAGGTGTAAACCCATACTAAAGCCATAAGAATAATAAACCCAACTCAATAAAGAGAGAGAGAGGTTAAACCTTTTTAGAAGTTTTATATAGATTTTAAAGAGTTATAGCATAGCAGTAAGCAATAAAGCAACACATTAAAATAATCAATAATCATTTTGATTGGCTTACAACTAAAATGAATGACTACTATTTCTTAATTTCAATGTAAGCTATTACACTGATTAAAATCATTATAGTTGAATTCTAAATCAATGAATAAAAGTCAAAGAATCTCTCACTATCACCAGTCTTCAGTTGTTTCGAGGTGGTGGTTGTGGCATTTTGTTGAAAATCATCATTCCCTCATGGATTTTCCTTTAGGCAGAGACTCAGGATTTTCCTT